CTAAATTATTGTACTGGGTAGTATTTTATTAATTTAAGTTGAATATTGTTTATTTTTGATATTTAAAATGCTATGGTGACATTGTTTTTGACACATTTAATGTACAAATAACCCTAAGAAGAATAAAAAAAAAAAGATTTCCCTCTAGTAAATTTGTTAATCTTCTTACTTGAGTTTCATTCGAAGTGTTTCAATGCACTCTACTGAACCATCTTATCTTCTAAAACGAATTAGCTCGGGCTTTGTTAGCTTTTATATTTACGAAGCCAAACAATCGGATTGTTCTTCAGTGATATAGACTACAGGAAATATGCGATGCAAGGCATAAAATATGGTAAAATTTAATATCTGAGCGAGATAGAAACACATATGGAGTAGGTACCTATTATCAAAGATTTAAAACATTCCAATCGATTTATGAAAGACTTGCTGTTTACTTTACGAGAAATTAATTTTCTATTGCTACTATTCGGGTTTTGCTTAATACTAAGTTTTACATAACGTACAATTTGGGTTATCAAATGTAAAAGTATATTTTATATTCCGACTGATACTTAAGTACTACCAAACATTAGCGCCTTTGACCAAACGAACTTTAGCTTTATTATAATACCTAGTGCGTTTAGTAAGTACAAATTACATAAACTGTTCTGATAAAATACTAAACTAGTAAACATTTATTTATTATTTTTTATAATTCAGCATTTATATTTACATTGTTTTGTAACGCAATCTATTAGATTTAATTCATAGCGCCATCTATTAAAATCCTACAAAACTATTTAATAAATGTGTCTTTGTTTAAACAAAAACTTAGCAATTGGTTTGTTTACACTTACTGCGCCATCTATTAAAACCTTGTAGAACTCATAAACAAATTTGCCATTGTTCTGAGGAGGTTACACCAAAAGCAATGAAAGTAATGATAGTAAAATCATTATTATCTTTCATTGCTATTCGTCCCTACACTGCCATCTTTTACGTTTAATAAATTTAGTTACAGAGAGCTATCTACCGATTTCTTACAGAATTCATGAATAATATAAGGACACTCACTGCACTGCCAAACGTTTTACCATATAAATGTAAGTAGTAATATCGCTATTAAAAAATAGGGGTTGGTGACAGAATGATAAATAGTAGCCGATTCTCAGACCTAATCAATATGTATAAATATTTATAAAAAAAAATAGTAATAAACTTATCAAATTCAAATTTTGCGATTTTTAAATTATGTTATAAACCTTATTGGATAATTAAGATTGAATAACAAGTATAGAAAAAAAATGCCATAGGTAATTTGCATAATTAGAAATGTATATTAGATAGGTACGTATAGAAATCACTCATTTGCTGAAAATCATAATATTCCTATAGTTATTTGTTAGATGTATTAAAAAAATGATAACAATAATTGAGAATAAAATAGTATTTTTTTTAGATTGACAGCAGTCATAGAGATGCCTATATCGGCAAAATAGTTATTATTTCATCTGTCGTGTACTTCATATGTTAAAAATAGATTTTACTTCGTATTTATGAAGTAAAATTAATTTAACGGTATTGTTTTGTCATCTATTCGTTAAAGACCATGTCGTATAGATACCTAGATTTCGCTAATATAATAATTCGTTTTAAAAAATAGTGAGTTCTTTAGTTCGTGTAGATGATCATCTAAAGGTGTTTGGCGGCGAGGTTTAAATAATCTAAAGTAAAAAACCCATTATTATTTTTGGTGGGATGACTAGTAGGGGAGGGTGGGGCAAGACGGGGTAGTTAAGGTTTGACACTGAATAAAACTCACATTTAAATAGGGACAAACATATTTTCTTTAGTTTTACAAACTTTGGTAATCGGTTTATTGTTTAAATAACAATAGATTCAAATTAGCTTATTATTTATCTCACAATCAATAGTTAAAGCGAACCTTTTCGCTTCACTTTGCCCCATCTTACCCCATACCTGGGGTAAGACGGGGTACCCTATAGGGCACGACGGTGTACGTAAAATAACAATAGATGCTACGGTAAATACAGTTAGAAACTAAAAACAAATGGTTTTAAAATATAACAAAACAGTCTCAAGTTTAATACGATTATAAATAATGGACTAAACTAATACGGGGATGAACTGCATGGATAGCTCTGTTGTGATCCAGCCTGCCTCACTGCAAACACCCCACGTACCTTGGGGAGCATTTATCATCAGTTCTGGCTTCATCGTTTTATGAGGAAATAGCATCATTGGTAGCATGTAGTACCCAAATGCACTGAAACTAAACACTACAGTGATAGTAGCTCCCCTTTTAGCTGAAGATAAAGATCCAACTTGCTTACTCCCTGTTCTGGCGATAATTTTATATTTACTTTTAGGAACGATGGATACCCCAGTCTTAACTGTATTATATATTCTGTTAGGAGAAATTTCGAGTTGTCGAGGGTTTAGCCTAACAAATTAAAAATCTATCTACAGCTATTTTATTAAGTCCTGCAGCTCTTGCCGCTGAAGTGTTCTCCGGTTGAAATTTCAGGGTGCCATTTACCTGCTCTGACCAACTCACCCTACTGGTTTTACGCACGTTGGTCCGTACCATTCTTCAAAAATACAAAATTAGACTCGGACGGGGCAAGATGGGGTATCCCATATACCATCTTGCCCCTTCGGGTATTCATTTCGGGTCATTTTATAAAAAAATAATAAAAAATAGGAATAATAAATTTAAGCGGTCGAAATATTCTCACCTTACATTATGTTTTTTTACTCTTCCAAAAAAATAGCAATAACAGCAACCACTTATCAATTTAATATATTTTTCATGTAGTTAACAACAATTGAAAATAATAAGTAAACTGGTCAAAACTAGTTTTTTCGCTCAAACATCTAAACGCGACGTATCACTGCGGTGGTTCTCAGGCGACCGAGGGGGTCAAGTAATAGCTTATTACTGGTATTATTGTTTTGACTGAGGTTCATTTGGTTTTCTCTGTAAGGGGGGTACCCCGTCTTACCTCGCAACCCCGTCTTGCCCCACCCTCCCCTAATGTACTAAGGAATAGTCAAAATAATGATGTTCGAATAATTTGCGCCATCCTAAAAAATATCGAATATATTTACAGTTTAAAGTAATTTGAAAAAATTAAAATTATTGTTGAAAACACTATTCTTTCATTTATTACCTTATTGGTCTTTCTACCTAAGAAGATTGTGTAAACATTTGCACCAGTCGTGTCGGCGAAATTTTCCTCACCCTCTGACTTACCGTCTGACTCTGAAATACCGTTTCAAGAAAAACGCATTTAAAGTTTCAAGAGATATTTACACTCAGTTAATTTTATTTTCTTCTAGCTACTCGCCCCGGCTTCGCAAGGGTGTACATGTACTATATATGTAAACCTTCCTCTTGAATCACTCTATCTATTAAAAACCGCTTCAAAATCCGTTGCGTAGTTTTAAAGATTTAAGTATACATAAGGACAGCCAGCAACAGCGACTTTATTTTATGCTGTGTAATGATTTACAACGAGTCATCTATTCCAGAACCGTGTAATAAACCCTCTGCGTCATTGTCTTTGACATGTGTGAAATAAAATTTACTTTTATATCTACCTCATTGTTACTCAAACGTGTGGAATGAAATTTACTTTTATATATGTTTCTTCCACTTACCTAACCACCTAACAACACAGCTTCCAATATTGTTAATTGCTGTTATCTATGAAACAGTTTTCGTAAGGCACATGCTCCTCCATCCTTATTCCGTTTCTCTTGTTTTTATATTTACTTAACTTTCGAGATCCCATGACAGCCTTTCATAAAAATGGGCTCATTTATCCGAATATATTAGCAGGATTAGTTAAAATATTTTGATAATCTTAAAAATATTATAAACGCAAAAGTATGGATGTTTGTTACTCTTTGACGCAAAAACTACTGAACGGATTCTAATGAAAAATGGACATATAGGGAGTTATTAAAAAATTGCAATAAATAATAAAATATTTTTTGAAAAAAGATCATATGGTAGGTAACAAAATTAGGCCAATTGCATCCGAGTACGGCTTTACTGCACTATTATTAACTAGGGGCAGAAATATATAATGAAAGTAAATAAAAAAATCCTGGTCAGAGTTTTAACGTAGTATCGTATATCACTTATGCTCAAGTACGTATGTACGTCAAAACTCTTTACAGTGTTACACATATAGTAAACTTTATTGGTGACAGAATATTACATTGAAATACTTACGAGACTATTGTGTCCACTGAAAGCTCAGTTGTGTATAATTACGACGAACAATTACTAATTAATTACTAAACAATTACTAATATTTCTTATTTAATTAACACTATTGACACATTAATTGAATAGTACATTATTACAAGTATCTAGTAGTGAGACAATAAAGACGTACGAAGTATACACGATTACTTTTACAAATTCATTACCGAGGTATAGACCAAAAGTTGTTCTTTGTCAGTCAATATCCACTTCTTTACTGTTGCAACTTAATTATTACATATACCTACATTACGTAATGACATCCGAATGTGATCAAGAAATTATTATTTTAAGTCTAATCTTACTATAGTATGTACCTATACGTACTCGTGCTTAAGTATGTTAAAAGTGGCTCCTTATTTATGTATCCTATAAGACAGATTGAAATTGACCCCGTTATGATGAGGCATTCCAATACATGTCTCGCAATAGTACCTACTAGATCTATAATGATTAAAGTGCTAATATACTAAAACATGCTCCAAGAGAGGCGACGGACGCGTGCTAGTCTTGTAGTAAGTAATTACTTTTCATGTTATTTAATTCTTATGTCTATGATTGATGGCAGTGATGGTAAGCGGTTGGCGGGAGGGACTGAGTCAACCTTACCCCAAGAACGTGAAATCAAGTCTTACGTGAAATAAAGTTCTGCACTATTATATTTATTATGAGTACTGGTTATAACTACGAGCGGAACAAACCAAGAGGGGTTTGTTCCACCGCGTCATTCTACACATGGCTTACACTAACAACGTTACGTGGTTTACGATTGCGTACTATTCTATCGTCTATTTGTTAACCTTAGCAAAGTTATCATTCAATTTCTATTGATACCAGATTAATTTCAGATCTGTAGACTTAGTGTTATGTTAGTTATATGTTTATAATTTATCAGACTATTAGTTTGGAAAAAATCCAAATGAATCAATATGATGCTCTAAAAAGCAAATATACTTAGTTGGCGACTTCTATGTCATACAGAAAAAAATAACATTGTTTTCGAGCAATGTAAGAAATAGCAATTTATTCAAGTGATTTAGTTACTAAAATGTTATAACAACCCAGTTTAAGTAACTAACTTCGCAAAAAAATCAAAAACGATGAAAATGACACTTTTTTTACTCTAATTAATCAGTCAAACTTTATAATAAACATCCGAGAGTATAGACTCGAAACAGTCTTATTTAAGTATATTTAGTTAAATAATTCATAGTTGAGCTCAGTTTGTGCGCAAATAAACACAATCTATATCACTTTAAGACTTAAGTACTACAATTATAAAATATATATATGATTACGTTTAAATTGCTATTAATTAATATGGACTGCTGTGCCTTGAATACATTACTCTCTTACTATAGGAGTTGAGGACATGAAATTCATTTCATGGCTGTTTCAGAGAAAGAACAACGAAAACCCTTCAACCGTACTGTTTCCGAATGCTAAACCGGTCAGACCAATAACAATAGACTTATAACGATTGAGTTGTAAAATAATACTTTGTATTGACAATAACATACAGAAAATTGGATAATTAATTGCGTACATACGAAACTTGAGGACATTTGTTTCTAATCTTAATAATACAATATAAAAATTTATGGACTATGAATTACATAATAATTTGAAAATACAGTCTTCCAGGCTTTCTTGTTTATCAAAAATTTGTATATTGTAAATTTTAATTGTAAAAACCAATAAAATACAGGAATCTCAAAAACATCCTTTTCATTCACATCAGCTCCATCTTCGTCTTGTATACTAGCTTTCAAATCCGAACGCATAATAATTTCAATTATTTACTATCAGACAATTTTAGGTTTAGATTACAGCTACACTTAAATATCATAGCGTTACACATTTCATAATTAAGTAGGGTCCACAGTCGTAAAATAGACGTAAGTAGTATAATACAAAGTTCTATTCTCATAAGATAAGACTAATTAATACCTTGGGATTATCTCAAGTAATATATGATTGAAAAGGGTACTTTACTACATATGGCATTGTACAACATGAATGTAAACATTTTATACATCTATTTATGCCACAACAATTAAGTACCTACCCTAACAATCCTTAAATAACCTTATTACATTTAAACTTAATTACTTCGCAATTTTCAAAATAAATGGTTACCTACATATCAAGATAATCATATTTATACCAAGCATTTTAACAGATTCAAAATACAATCAATATTCTAATTACTACAACATTCTAAGTTAGTTAACACTACTCTATATGATACTTTCTTAATACATTAATACAATCGAGTGATTTTATACTTCAAATGATAATAAATCAAAACAAAACGCGTAATCATTGTAATAGACACACAAGCGCCCAAAACTGAAAGGAACGGGAAAGACAAATGGATTTACACGCTTATAATTTACAGAATATATGACGAGTTTGATTCTCAAGTGTATAATTAAACTTTTAATCTATTGTATATCATTATATGTATGTTGGTTACTTTTCATTTTCGTTGTCTGTCTCCTTTTTATCTTCAGGTTCTTGCTCCTGTTCTTCTTCTTCATCACTCTAAAACAGTACAATAAATAAATATAAGTATGTTTTATGACATTATATAGGATTATATTAGAACATAATACTTTACAGTAATACTGATTATTAAATAGTGTCATAACGTACCTCGTCGTTTACTGGTTCGTCTGGGAGTGGCTGTTTTTCAGCGGGCCCAGTGTCCTCCGTGGGCAGTTTCACCTCCTTCATAGCGAGCTTTGCATTAATGGTTATGAGGTGCGTAATACAGATTTCATCCCAGTACTCGAAGGCATGGTCCTTAATACGGGAGACTAGACCGACCAGATTGGGGAACGATTCGTTCAGAGCATCTCGCAGGGGGTGGGGTACATTCTTGTCGATGAAATGCAGTTGTGCGAGATTTAAGAACGTCACCATATCCAGCTGTCAAATATATTTTTCAATATCAGAGAAATATATAAATTTTAATATACCGGATGACTTTGATGAGCTTGTGGCAAAAAAAAAATATAAAGGTGATTTGATTGATTAAAATTCATAAAATAATTAATTTATTTTGTTTATGCGAATGTTAATGTTAATGCGAATGCATATCCTTTCCAATTTATATACGGTCTCAATTCTTTAGAATTCTAATAAAAGTCATCTGATATATTCTACAGAGAAGAAAAAGAAAGTAGTTATAATAAGCTTTCTTGGCAACACAGCTTGCTTTCTCTATAGTATTATCTTAATAACTACCCTATTCTATTTAATTATTTGCCGTTGGTAATAAAATATAATATTTATTATCCAAAAATAATATTAATGCTCAAAAGCTATTGATTTACCAAAACCATATACTTACCAGAGTAGGCTCGTCGCCATAGAAGTATGGTCTATCTGCGAGCAAGTTAGACAGGAAGCGCATATCAGTTTTACCAAATTCTAATGGTTCATCCTGGGCGTACACCCCAATATCATAAGTCTTTAGCTTGTACATGTCCTGTAACATTAAACTATAATTGTAAACAAAGTGAACATATATACACGATATATACATATAAATATATATATATATAATAAAAATGCTACGGTCTGTCTGTACATTAAGGATAGAGATATGACCATATGATAAAGTCTAAATAATATTATAATATAAACGCAAAACTATAATTATTAGAATTTCTATATCTACGTTTGTGCGCGCTAATTATGCCACTGGACTTTTATTATACCATAAATTTTAGATAGGTATATCAACTTATAGTTAAAAATTACTTAACGTTTTAGAGTTCCAAAACCTAAAGTTAAGGCGGATCCGTCATGTTTCAGAAATGTCTGCCGATACTAGATTGGTGCATGTTATTGATTTAGATATTTACCTACCGTCTGCACAGTTTTAATGGAATTGGTTTTTTCTTTCTTTTCTTTAGGATCAGACAATAAATGTAGTATAGTACTATTAATGGAGAATAATAAAGCTATATATATAGACTTTACACAAAAATCAAGAAGATGTTCTTAACTATAACAATTTTTTAAAAGATCAGCAAAGACCTTCCAAACCAAAATGTTTAAAATATCTTGGTTTGTAAAGCCAACACAAGGGACGTGTCTGGTTTCTGTCGTCCATCACTGCGAGATAGGTTATACATAGTATTGTAGATAAATCGTATTGGCCCAGTAGTTTACTACCCCTACTTATATTCCCACAGATACCACAAAAACCGTAAATTTAGAATTAGTATTTCCTAAAACGCCCAAAATTATATTTAGGACTGACTCTCTGGAGCTAGAAACATCGTTAACAAACCAGAGTATAATATTATTATACTTATTGATATGTTTTACCTACCTTAAAACAATTAAATAGTTCTATACTATATATTAGAGCTCAAATAATGAACTCATAAATTCAATTAAAAATAAATAATTAAAAAATGCTTAATGTTGATCCAAACAAAGAAAATTAAAATCTTTTTTATACCCTGTATATTTAACCAAGAATACCGTAATAAATACCGACCCCGCCCTATTTATCGGAAAATTTTCTAACGCACAAATTTCGAAATATTCTAAAGTGATAAAGGCATATTTAAAAATTACAAGCGCAGTAGAATGATATTTCTAACAAATTTTCTTTCGAGTGGTTAGACGGTTCGATTTTAAAGAACAAAGGAAACTTTTAATATAATCATGTCTGGCATCTATCATTACACATTTTACTATTATCTGCGGGTTTTAGTAACAATTAATAACATTAAATTAATCTTACTCTTCGTTCGTATTTCCTTAAATTAACCACAAAATTCTTTGTTTAAATTATTAACAAATTTTCTTGTAATGTATATATGAAAAACAAAAATATAAAACACTCGTCCCATAATGGAATGAGTATGTAAATTTTAAATGTATCTATAAATAAAATGGATATAAAATAGTTACCTTAAGTCCAGACATGCAGCAGAAATTTGTATTAGCATTAGAGGGACGCGGGGGGAGACAGCTCATCAAAAATCTGGAGAGCCATAATACAATGATCCAAGATAAATGAATCTCAATCGACGGTATCATCGCGTGTGCCACCACTCGTCGCTCCGGTTTTAGTGCTGCATGTTACAAATCGGTCAACAGGTGCAGCAATTTAAACTAAATGCACATGCGCGACGACCCATTACTATCTAGATATCTAGGACTTCAGGTCGCTGACGTCGCCCGGGGTAGTACAGCTAGTGTATCTCGTAGCTGCATCGACCAGGACCTTTATTGCATAATAATCAAACGTCGCTACCTCCGCCCGGATACATGAATTACATAACAACTATTGTTATACTCAACATTACATTCAGTAATTCGGCAAGCAAAACTAACTTTTGATATTAAGTTCATATTAACTTAAGTATATAAAGTACATGGTTCACTTGGACAAAACGCTTTTATAAAAAATATCAAACGTTACTATTTTTAAAACAGTTGAGTATCTACTGCAGACAACTTTGGCTTGTAAACAAAGCCGTGTACATAAATTTTGTAATTATTATTAGCAATTAACAATTACACACACAGTCATTTTTAGTTTAAGTATAATTGGTAATTCGGTTATAAATACTTTGTGTTTAACAATGCAATTGCAACTGATTTAACAAAACCTTTACTAGCAATTTAGTGAAAACTTTCAATAATTATAAAACTATAAACATTGATTATTTGACGGCCTCTCTGGTCTAGCTTTTTGGCAAACTTCCTCATTTCTGATTGTTACGGATTTTATTCCTCGCACGGTATTCATGAGTATGATTATTTGAATCGATGTTGATTTTTGACTTAGAAGATGTTCGTCTTAGTGACACAATCTATCTTCATAGAAAATTTGTTGTAATTGGGTATAGTTCAGGTGTTTAATCGTAAACACTTAATAAACACACCTTTGTATTTGAAATATTAGTGTTGATGTGTGATTGAACTTACAATTATTTTATCCATTTATTTTTATTCAATAAACTTTACCTGCAATCAGAGTTATCTTAGGTCGGGGTAGTTTATTAGGTACATGGGGTTCCTTGACTATAACGGGAGAATATCTAATTATTAATATTATAAACGCGAAACTTTGTAAGTACGGATGGATGTTTCTTACTCTTTCACGCAAAAACTACTGAACGGATTTTGATGAAACTTTACAGTAATATAGCTTATAGGTACATCAGAATAACTATAAATATCACGTGAGTGAAAACGCGGGCATAGCTAGTATTAAATATGGGCAAAAGGTGAAAAAAAATTCTCGATTATAGTCTCCTAACAGGCACAAATTCTCGAAAATGTTGCAACTTCTCTGTTCCGAAAATTTACATTGTACATAATTAAACATAAATTTACATTAAATTGCCCAGGTATACTGAAAAATGTGTGCGTGGGTACAACTTTGACTCCAATTACTCGGGCACACAGATGTACTCGATAAAAAAACCTGGGTCTATGTAATCCGTGTTACAATTTACGTTTGTGTTGTAACATTATTAGGCACATTAGAAGCCTATTAAGATGCCAGTGACTGCCCTATTCGACTATGTAACAAGTACCTACTTGTACCTACAACAGCCTATATATATTCCTATTGTATAAAGTGTTATTTAACTATCTTTCCTAAAATAATTCCAGATGATAAAAGCAAATTAAGAAAATTTATATAAAATATTTGGGGATTAAAAGAACTTATGCATATGTCCTAAGAATTTTAATGTTAAAAGAGGCAGTCACGTCGAGCACTAAATCCTGTTCCTGTTATAAGTATAATATACTGCATAATTAATTATTTTCGCCTGTTATTTCCCTTCATAAAACAATAAATTTTGATAACACACTCAAAGCAATAAAATAAGAACAATAAACAAAAATTCATGTGAAATTATAATTAACAATGTCATTCTCAAAATCTCGTAGTAATCAAATAACAAATTCAAAAATACATTTGCCTTCTCTATTTAAAACCGACAACACCGCTGCCTAACTAAGTATCATTATCTACTATTAACAAGCTTTTATTGGGAACCAAATTTTTTCTATACCAACTATTACTATTAATATAAACTATTTTGTACAAATCTTATACTCTCCATTTGAAAATTAATAAGAGATAATGAATGTCCCTTTTCTTGTTGCTGCTGCTACAAAGGAACATATATAAATAATAGTGGCCATCATAGCCCATAATTGTTCCAAATACTGCTATGAGAATGTAAATTATGTTACCATAAATACCTAATCAAAGACGATCCTAAATACTCATATTTCATACTAAGTAAATAGACATATAATTAGAGTAATTGAAATGTATATTTAACTCGGCGACCGGGCAGACGTAGTTTTGCTCCCTACTGTCATCGATCCGGTGATTCCGGTGTAATAGATTTATGCACAGCGTCATCTGTTAATCCCTATAACTTATTCATAACAACCTATAGCATATTTTTATTATTATAGTAAAAACTCATCATACTCAACATATCTCACATTTCAAGTTGGACCAAAATACACTGATTAAAGCAAATATTATAAATCCTTACTAATATTATAAATGCGAATGTAAGTCTGTCTGTCTGTCTGGCTTTCACGCCAAAAATACTGAACCAATTTAAATGAAATTTTGTAGACAGATAGATAGACCCTGAGAAAGGACATACGCTACTTTTTAATGCGAAAAAAGGGTTGTAAGGGGTTGAAATTGGGGATGAAATATTGTGTGGAAGAATCGTCATTGTTGAAACTAGAAGCCTGAAACTTATTTTTGAGGCTGTTGATTAAATATAAATAAATATGACATTCTTTGTTTGTAAAAATTTTAGCATTAGGGGTGTAAAATAAAATAGGGGGAGAAAGTTTTTATGTAAATTCGTCATTTTTGAAGCTAGAAACAGATTTTTTAGGCTGTTGAATACATATAAATAAATAAGCCATCAAAGTTTATAAAAATGTTACCCTTAAGGGGGTAAAATAAAATAGGTGATGAAAGTTTTTATGTGAATTTGTCTTTTTTGAAGCTAGAAACTGATTTTTGAGGCTGTAGATTAAATATAAATAAATAAGCCATCAAAGTTTATAATTTTATCCCTTAAGGGGGTAAAATAAAATAGGGAATGAAATTTTTTGTAATTATGTAAATTCGTCATTATTGAAGTTAGAACGATGAAACTTTTTTAATTGACTTTTTGGATTAGTATATTAAATACCTTACTAATATTATAAATGTGAAAGTAACTCTGTCTGTCTGTCAGTCTCACTTACACGCTAAAACTACTTAACAGATTTAAGTGAAATTTGGTACACAATTAGTCTAGATATTGAGAAAGCACATAGGATACTTTTGGATGCGAAAAAAGGGTTGTAAGGGGCTTGAAATGGTAGATGCAAGGTTGTACGTAAGAATCATCATTTTTAAAGGTAGAAGCTTGAAACTTATATTTTAAGCTGGTGATTAAATATGAATAAATATGATATTCAAAGTTTTGGATGAGGATGGATGATTTTAGGTAAATTCGTCATTTTTAAAGTCAGATCTATGAAACTTTTGCATTGTTTTTTTTGGGTTAGTTTATAAAATACCCCACTAATATTATAACTGTGAAAGTAACTTTATCTATCTGTCTGTCAGTCGCACGTACACACCAAAACTACTGAACCGATTTAAATGAAGTTTGATACACAGTTAGTCTAGACCCTGAGAAAGGACATAGGCTACTTTTGAATGCGATAGAAGAGTTGTAAGGGGTTGAAAAGGTACATGTTGTACGTAAGAATCGTCATTTTTAAAACTAGAAGCTTCAGACTTATATTTTAGGTTAGTGATTAAATATTAATAAATATGCCATTAAAAGTTTGTAATAATTTTACCCGCAAGGGGCTAAAATAAGATAGGGAACCAACGTTTCATGTAAATTCATGACTTTTTAAGCTAGAATGATGTAACTTTTTTCATTGGCTTTTTGGGTTTATTGATTAAATATCTCACTATTATTATAACTCTCGATCTCGCTAACACGCCAAAACTAATGAACCGATTTAAATTAAATTTGAAGTACATAATCTAGACCCTGAGAATGGATATAGGGTACTATTTAATGTGGAAAAGGGTTATAAGGGGATTGAATACAATCTTGCACCTACCGTAGGTGCAAGGTTGTATGGATATATTGCCATTTTCAAAGCCTGAAACTGATTTTTTTGATTAAATATGAATAAATAAAAATGGGTTGTAAAGAATTTAAAGGAGAATTAAATGTTTATATGGAAAAGAAACATGAAGTTTAATTTGTTAAATATATATTTTGAAAAAGATTTATAAGGGGTTGAAAGAGTTATGTATGGAAGTGTCATCATTTTTGAAGCAAAAAGGATAAAAATTTTTCATTTGGCTTTTATAGGGTTTGGTCATTAAATATTTTTTCAGTATTTGGTCAAGGTCACTTTTAATTATTAATAGTTTCTTAAGGACTGTATATATTTTATATTATAATTTTAGTTTTAAGAGAAACTACGGTCGCTGATGGTAAAAGACATATATTTCAAATTGACAGTAATAATGGAACAAAACATAAAATATTTAAAATGTATATATAAAAAAATATAATAAAAGTCTAAAAAGGTGCGTCGTGCACAGTCACTATTTTACGCGGACGAAGTCGCAGGTACAGCTAGTTTTATATAATTGTATTAAGTGACATTATGATGTAGCATTTTTATGTCTTTATACATATGTTAACACATAAGTTAACATAACACTTAACACATATGTAAGTTAACACATAAACATACATATATAGCACTGTTATCCCAAATTAAGTAGTCAGAGCATCAGAGCATTGTCAAATGTCGATTTTGTACGAACCCAGCGGTCCGACATTTCTTTGGTTTGATAAGTGTATGTATATATCGGTTTTTCCTTCACCGGTGTCAGAAATATAAAGATAGGTATACAAAGTTGTTTTTTGTGTTGTTCAGATTTGAAATCACCACCATCCAAGGAGTCTTATTTCAGGCTACTAAACTGAAATTAACGGGCCGAAAACTATCTATTTTTATAATAACGTTGTGGATGAAATATCCACATAATGTTGTTAAAATGGTAAGAAAAACGAAAACAAAATAGAGTAGTACAATTAATTTTGTGAATATTTTCAATACTCGACTCCAAATTAATATACATAGTGTTATGATATAGTGCTATACTATAGTTAAGATAGTAGTCAATCATAACACATTTCGACGAAATATTGACCGACCTTTATTTTACAACTATTTTGAAAAAAAATTTTATTAAAATACTTATTATCATTTAATATTCTCAAACACAACACGATAATGATTTCTACGGTATGATCGTTGTTGGACTGAATGTTATTTGATGCATTTATGCAAACTATGATTTCAAACCCTGGTAGTATGTCTTTCAAATGATACCATCATATCGATATACTTCAGAGAATCTTATTTGTTTTTGTTTTATTATTTGTTTCAAGGTATATTATATGTCTTGTTTAAATGTCTGAAGCTCAGTAATTTTAATATTTCGTTTAAATTCATATCTATAAACTATATACCGTACATGTCCTAATATTCTCCGACCAGTAAAAAAAGTTATCCAGTATGTAACGTAGTATGTTGGCGACCGAACGCCAAACTCTTTTGATATTTGTATTATTTTGAAATTTATATTTTTGAGGAGATTTTTTTATATGTCATGTTATTTGATATACCTCATTTTATTGTTTTACTCTTATTGCCTTTTGATAGTTTCGCAAGTGCACAATAATATATTATATTATTATAGAAACTACGTGTTTTCATCATTTAGACTCCCATACAGTCCACCGATCCATTACATTTTTTGTAGAAATCTTCAATCAAAGTACTTCTATACTGCACTATAATTACTTACTTGAAAGGACACCTAATATCAAAAAGGGACAAAAAAAATATAATGAATGTAAATAAAATAAACCTGCTCAGAGTTATAACGACGTATCGAAGATCAGTCAACTCAACGTGCGTCATAACTCTTTGCAGTGTTACTCATTTGGTAGATATATATTTTAATGGCGATAGAATATTACATTGAAATACTTAAGAGAATATTGTGTCCACTGAAAGCTCAGTTGTGTATAATTATGGCGAGCCATTACTAACTAATCGAATATTACTTAGTTTATTAATATTATTGACACATTAATTGAAAACCACAATTATTATATATGCGGATGAATTTGTATGATTATATAAAGAACATAACTATGTTCAAATCAAAAGTAGGTTAATCATTTTCTATTTTATTATAATAACATAAACATAGACGAATGAAATATACTTATTTTACTAATATTATAATTATGATTAATTTGTAGGTATAATAGACCTAACTTACAACAATACAAATTGAATCAGAATAAATCATGTTAAGTAAAAGTACCATATAAATTACACACTATGAAGTGAGACAATAAAGACAGGAGGCCTGTACGAATCATATTATAAATTTTACTTTTACACATTAATTACCAAGGCATGGACCAAACGTTGTTCTATGCAAGTCAATATCCGTAGATCCTTTTCTTTATTTTCCCGACTTAATAATTATGTAGCTTAATGAGAGCCGAATGTGATCAAAAGATTATTGTTTTAAACCTAGTCTTACTAAAGTACGTATACTACCACTAAATGTGCCGCCTGCGAATATCTCACCTCATCTCATCTCACATACACCGCTACACACTCTCATCGCGTCACATCGTCTGGTCACGTCACGTCACGTTTGGTCACGTTGCGCGAGACGCGTAGGTTTACCATGTTCCGATAGCCACAACCTGGTAATGTTCATTTTATGTGCCTGTAGTGTGCATTAATTACCATTAAACCTGTAAGTGAGATTGTCCCCGACATGATGTTGCATTACACTGAAACAGGCTTTCCAATGGATGTCTTGTAATATTATTACATCTATAACTATTGATTTGGTAATGTAATATTGAGATATATATACGAAGTGAGGTTCCAAGCGAGGCGACTAATATGTGCCCGCACTGGAGTACAACCTCATTTCCTAAACTATTTACTTTCTTATTATTAAATCCTTATATCTGAGACTAATGGCAGTGATGGTCAGCAGTTGTCGGGAGGGACTGAGTCAACCTTACCCCAAGAACATGAAATCAAAAGTCTTACGTCAAATAAAATTCTGCTCTATTTTATTTATTACGAGTAACTGGTTATACCTACGAGCGGAGCGAGCCTTATCTTCTCCACCGCGTCGTTCTACACACGCCTTACACTAACGAAACGTAACACGGTTTACGGTTACGTACACCTATGTCTATTTATTAACCTTAGGATAAGTTATCATTTAAATGATATTAATATGTTATAATTTCAGATCTCTAGGCTTACAGTTATTATATTCTAATGTTTATTAGACTGTAAGGATGTTGGAAAAAACGCAAACGAATCAATATGACCAAACGCTGACTTAGATAATAACCAAATAGTTAGACGAACACTAAAGACTTATGAAGTGAAGCTCGTGTATTCTATGATTCATACAGAAAAATAAATGCTATGATAGTGTAACATACCCTCAACTGGACAGATGAGATGGAGTCTTAAGCTTTTCAAGTAATGTACGAAATTGGAATGTAATTAAGTGAATTAGTTGCTAAAATGTTATAACAAGCCTGTTTCAGTGACTAACGCCGCAAACAATTAAAAAATCGATGAAAATTACTTTTGTTACTCTAATTAATCAGTCAAACTATGTAACAATTTTCCGAGAGCATTGACTCGAAAGCAGTCTTAGTTGAGTATTTGGTAAAATAATGTATAGTTGAGCTCAGACTGTGTGCAAATAAACACATTCCATACCACTATCAGAGTCACAAAGATGAAAACATTTAACCCACAACTATTCCGTATCACTATTAAATAACCCTTGAATGCAATACCGAAATACCTTGAAGACATAAATTTTATTGCAGACAGATATAGCGATAGACTTTTGAAGTAATATATAGAGAATAAACACACAAAATTGAATTAATTTCGTACATACAAAATTTGAGTATATTCGTTTCTAAATCTTAACAATACAATATAAAAATTTTATGGACTATGAATTACATAATTACATGAAAAACAGTCTTCCAGGCTTTCTCGTTTATCAAAAATTTGTAAATTGTAAATTTTAATTGTAAAAACCAATAAAATACAGGAATCTCAAAAACATTCTTTTCATTCACACCAGCTCCGTTGCATACGAGCTTCAAAATTTCCGAACGCATAATACTTTCAATTATTTACTAAACATCAGACAATTTTTGGTTTAATTATACCTACACTTAAATTTTGTAGCGTTACACATTTCAGTTAATTAGGGCGCTAGGGCTAATATAATATAATATAATATAAGTGCTAATTGCCCACAGTCGTAAAATAGACGTAATTAATATAAGTTCTATTCTCATTACATAAGATTAATTAAAATTAATATCTTGGAATTATCTCAAGAAATATTAGATTGAAAGGAGTACTTTTCTATATATGACATGACAATATGCATTATGAATTAAACAGTTTTATACCATTATATTTATGCTAGTTAGAATTTCCTTCGAATAAACGTTTACCTAATCCTGTAAGTACCCTAACAACCAAATTGCCTTATAAGATATTAATTTTATTATTTCACAATTTTCAAAATAAATGGTTACCTACATATTAAGAAAATAATTATACCAAGCATTTTAACAGATTCATAATACAATCAATTTTACAATAATCTCAGTTAATTACGACAACTAATAGACCTCTATGACACTTTCTTAATACATTAATACAATCGAATGAATTTATACTTCAAATGATAATAAATCAAAACAAAACGCGTAATCATTATAATAGACGCACAAGCATCAATAACTGAAAGGAACGGGAAAGACAAATGGATTTACACGCTTATAATTTACAGAATCTATTACGAGTCTGACTCTTAAGTGTATAATTCAACTTGTATCCTAATGTAACTTGCTTATCAAGTTCGAGCGCCGCGTCATTATTTGTTGTTTACTTTTCTTTTTCGTTGTCTTTCTCCTTTTTATCTTCGGGCTCCTTCTCCTGTTCTTTTTCCTTTTCATCGCCCTAAAACAGTAAAATAATGGAATATAAAAATGTTATTAATATACAGTAACTTATTAACTTATAGCGTTCTCCAAAAGTTAATTCTAACTTACCTAATAAAAGAAACTACTTTCGGCAAGTTAGTGTGCATAAGTTTGAGAAGCATAGTAATTTTAGATTCTACTTGATTAGCCATTAATATCAAACATATATTATTGACTAGTCTAGCACACACACAGAAAAAAAGATGTTGTGGAGTCATAACGTACCTTGCCCTTTTCCGGCTCGTCTGGCAGCGGCTGTTTTTCAGCAGGCCCAGTGCCCTCCTTGGTTTCTTTGACCTCCTTCACAGGCTTAGGGAGATGTGCGTTCAGGTCAAGAGTAGTACAGATGTCATCCCAGTCGAGGAAAGCACGCTCCTTGATGCGGGAGACCAGCCCAACAAGATTGGGGAACGAATCATTCATCGCGTCTCGCAGGGGATGAGCTACATCCTTGTCAATGAAGTGCAGTTGTGCGAGATTTGAGAACGCTACCACGTCCAGCTGTCAAATAGATTTTCCCAAGTCAGACAATTGTATAATATAAATACCTATATGTAAGTGTGACCTAGCTATGATGATGAAATAACTAACAATTATGTCAAAGAATATAGAATGTAATATTATTTAAGCTAGTATTCACCAATTAGTACCTACATACATTAATTTTACCAAGAATAACGAGTAACACGTGGGTACAGTTCCGAGTTTTAATATTACTGACAACGCCACTTGTAGTACGAATTGTTTAGTAAATTGTACCAATTCCTATTGCAGTTAAAACTCTGCTCGACGTGGTAAACCCCGGGCGACGTCAGCGACCTGAAGTCCTAGAATTCTAGATAGCAATAGGTCGTTGCGCATGTGCTTTGCATTTGGTTTAAATAGTTTACACCTGTTGACCTATTTGTTACCTACAGCCCAAACGCGGGGGTAGCGAGTGGAGATTTGTTCTCTCCTATTCGCTCCTTATACATCATACTACTAATAATAGTTGGTTGATCATTTTAACATAATGGTTATTGTTATTATGGTCGACATTTCGAATACACAATCAATAAACATAACGAAGCAAAGTACTATCAACCTACCCTATTCTTTCTTTAGTTCCATTTCGATTATAACATAAGTCTATAGTTGTTATTTTGTAATTAAAATTTCATTAATTAACATGTAATATGTAAGCCATCATAATGCCTTAAAAGATTCACAACAATTCTCTAAATACATGAATACTCACCAGAGTAGGCTCATCGCCAAAGAAGAATGGCCTATCAGAGAGCAAGTCGGAGAGTACGCGCAGATCATTCTTGCCGAATTCTAAAATCTCATCCTGAGAGTGGACTCCAATACCATGAGCCTTTGCCTTCTTCATGCCCTGTAACAAATTTTACAACATATACTAACAAAAGTAAAAACATATATGTACGATATTAATAATCAAACCGCAATATTCTATTTGCCTGTTCGCTCTGTTAGTCACAAAATCAATTTAATAATAAAGACAATAAAATTATTATTCCAGTCAATATAATAAATTTTCCTACAAAACCAGATAATTGGTATTCATGTTGTATAATTTCTTGGCTATAATTAAGTATTGCTAAATTTCAAATTCATCTACAAAATATATAGGATAGACATTTGTAATTAGAAAGTTTTTTAGAGAAATCATCAAAAACATACAAAAAGTGTTATGCGGTTCGATATCTAAACAAAGGAACAGCTATGATGTCAGTATCTATTTCTTTTAGATATGATAAATTATTGTACTCCCTTGGACCGATAGGATTTATTAATAATTTAATTGTTATACCTAATAACTATTCATAAGGAAAACTAAGGAACTCTATTCCTTAAACTTTGAACACAACATCCTTTGTTTAAATTATTAACAAATTTTGTAATAATTGTAATTTAAATGAGAAATACAAATAAATTTTGATGTTTGATGTAACAATTGTCTTCTGGAAATATTTATGTAAATTTTAATAAATACAAATAATATTAAACATCATTATAATATAAACATAAATATTTACCTTACGCCCAGATGTAAACTTGTAGCAGAAATTTAGTATAGGATTTGGCAAACGCGTATTCAGGGCATTTTGTAGATTCACTTGGTAGCCCTTGATGACACTATCCGGATACTTGGCGCGCCACCAGAGAATCACCCAAGACAGGTGATTTTCGATCATGGAGATCATCGCGTGTGCCACAACTCGCTGTTCCGGCGTCAGTGCTGCAGGTACATAACAAATAGGTTAACAGGTGCACCTATGTAAACTAAATGCACATGCGCGACGACCCGTTACTATCTAGAAATCTAGGATTTCAGGTCGCTGACATCGCCCGGGTCCGTTCTACAGTGGTGTATCTGGAAGCTGTATCGACTATATATTATACTAGCTATCCGCCCATGCTTCACACATTCGATGTAGATATAAAATAAAACACATTATACATATAAACCTTGAATCAGTGTACTATTAAACAAACTAAAAACAACGGAAGCGAAGAAATATCCAATGATTACTACATACCAACTCGTCAAAGAAATAGTTCTTAATCTTTTAATTATTTCAGGGCGATTGAGTGATTAAAACATTTTTCTACACTATTGTATGTACAGTATTCGTCAATATAAATAAATTCTTATTTTAGAAAAATGTTAACCTATAAATCAATTTTTCTAAGCCCCTGAGTTGTTAAATCTTTATTGATTTTAGCGAGATTATAAAACCATTACATAGTATAATACAAAGTCGCTGTCGCTGTCTGTCCGTCCCTATGTATGCTTAAATATTTAAAACTACGCAACGGATTTTGAAGCGGTTTTTTTTAGTAGATAGAGTGATTAAAGAGGAAGGTTTATATGTATAATACATAGATAGGTTTATATTATATAGAAACATAAATAAAATAATAATATAGTAAAATTTAACCTGCATCAAGATCTTTGTTATATTTCTCAGAAAGCTCCTTGATAACGAAAGCACTATCAGCGATTTCTTCGCCATTCAGCTCCACAAAAGGCAGTTGACCTTTTTTGGACCGGAACTTGGCCTTGTGATCGACGTTCTGAAACAAATATATATTTACATGACATATAAAATATTCAATTCAAATATTCAATTCTAGTACTCTGAGGGAAAATATAAGAAGTGAAGAGAACAAGCGAAATAATAAGAATAAGACCGATAAGGGTTTTTTTTAAATAATTAACATTAAATTCATGATAAATTATACTTAAAAATAATATAGGTATAAAATATAATATGTTGTCCAAAATTTGGTTATAATTATTTAATTATGACCAGATTCAATCATAGCCCAATTTTAAGGCATGGAAATAAACGTAGTAGAATATTTCACATCGTACGTACGTTATACATGATGTGATGAATATAACCAGCGACCCATAACCCATTGCGAATATTATTTCATATCAGTACTAATCTGTTAATTAATCACACATTGCAATATTAATTATAATATTTAAAAAAAATACTGCTCATACATTAGTTTATAAAAATAGTTAATTAAAAGTTCGCTACTAGGGCCTTTTATAATTACAAGCACAGCTAAGCGCCAAAATCTATACATATAATAAAAAATGTAAACGATCGCTGTCTGTAGGTACTTAGAAAATATATATCAGAAAAACAATTTCTAGGAGACTTTACCGACGTAACAAAAACCAAAACAAGGATATTTGTGGGCGTTAATCTCAGTAACCACTTAACCGTATTGGGTGCGATTTTCACTAATGTATCGTGAGCTTCACTTCAAATTTACTGTAATAATCTATTACAAACGATTAATAAACAAAAAACTAGTTATAAACCATTATCGCACCACGGGCACGAAGTCGCGGGCTCAGCTATTGTACAATAAAACTTATGCATCAATCTAACGCACAAAGGATGACCATATTTCGCCGGACTTCACTGTAATTTAAAAATATTTCAAGTAAAATCCTTCGGATAGTCATAATTTTTAGCGTTTATGCAAATTTTATTATTTCCTCAGTGGTTTAGCGATTTCGCACAACGCTTTACTTCAGATGGTCGCAGGTTCTATTCCTCGCACAACGCAAGCATTTGTATTCATGTGTATGATTGTTTGTAATGTTCTGGTTGTCTCGTATGGTTATTATGTATGTACTTACAAAAAAAAAATCTATCCGTTCTTTGGTATCCATAACACAACCCTGCTTGGGACTAGATGGCACTGTGGAAATGGAAATAAAGTCAGTTGCAGCATAAATGCAGTCATGTAAGGCTACCCTAACAGATTAACTATTAGCTATCATTTACACAGTACAGTGTAGTCTCATTAGAAGGCCCACCTTCATGTAGGAGGATTACTGCCTGAAGGGGGTGGTGTATCGGCGCTACCGTATCAAATTGCAGACGTCAGTACCGTGACCACACAAACAATGTAGTTAATAGTTATATTTTATTATTATTTCATACTACCTGTTCCCGCGACTTTAACTTTATTTTTTGCGTGGAATTTAACTTTATTTTTCTAAAATAAAAGTAGCCTAAGTTACTCCTTATTACATCAGCTACCTGCCAAAAAAAAGGTCCCGACAAAATCGGTCCACCCATTTTAGAGATTAGCCAGAATAAACAGACCGACAGACCGACAGACAAAAATTAGAATAAATATTTTTTTGGTATATGTACCGTATATATATATATATTCATATGCATGTAGTAAAAAACGGTTATTTCAATATTACAAACAGACACTCCATTTTTATTTATATGTATAGAGTATAGATGTATAGATGTGTGTTATTAATCTATAATGTATTTATATTTATAATATATATATATGTCATTAGTAGCCTCAATTAAATAAATGAATTAAAGAGTACGTGAGGAAATGAAACATTAAAGTTCCCGGGTTAAAGGGGATTGTTAGTAATGTGGATTAAGACCATTGCAAACAATGTACCATATCAGATTGATTTCCACGTGGTTCCCTCTAGAAACCGTCGTGATAAATTCATGGTGGATTTACCAGGATGGGCTAACCGACCTGACATCATGATCATCTTATCATATCGTGTGCCACGCCAGTATAAACTGCTAGTACTGGCGGTTGCACCATTCCTTTATCATCCATAAGACAAAAATATAAGTTTTAAGTAGCATTTAAATTATTTCAGTTTGATGTTACAACATCTGAAATGTTTTAGTCTAGACGTGGATGCTTAAGTTAGCAAAACTTTGCATATTGAATTTTTACTTCCACGTGGCAACAACAGGTTGTCAAAGTAATGAACTTTATGATAGTCGCAGCGATTCAAGTGTTGTACGAGAGTGGGCCGTGGCGCGACTAACGGGCAGGGGGAGCAGGGAGAGATCGCGTGTCATGGGGTGGGGGCGGCGGCATCCCAGCCCGGCATGATTTATCTGACCGGGTTGCCATGCCAACGGACTCGAGACGAGCGCAAGCTCATTGCACGGTGCGGGGAGCAGCTGTATTGATTTTGACAGACGGAGTTCAGCGGCCGGTCAGCGTGTCCCCGCCCTGCACCCCACAACTTCACCCCTGTTGTCGTCGGTCATTGTGATGCCGTATTACGGAAATTGGATATTAATATACTAACAACTTTTAGTATAATATAATATCCAAAAAAAATTATGTATATAAAAAAGGAATTACTTCAATAACATAACTTGACAATTACTATATACTATATATTTAATAATGCACGAGGTCAGATAACTGGGTACAAAAATACAAAATTAAAACGAATTATGACCATTATTAGCATAATAAAAATTAAGTATTGAAATGATTAATAATGTTCATGTAAAATTCATGTTTTCATTGAAACAAATAAATAGAAAGATTACCTATTATTATTATCCAATAATATTTATTATTATAGGAACAACCGAAACAAAGAAAATATAAGACTCATCAACAAAATATATTTTTAGTTAGTTTCGGTAATTAATATCCCTTGTGAAACATTATATATTGTAATTCTGTAGCATCTTCTTTGCATAAAGTTGTAATAAGTAGCGTTTTAACATTAGTGCGCCCAGATATATTTTAGGTACAGTAGGTGGCTGGAGGCTCGCGGCCGGGCCCGGCGGTGCGGTACACCCCGAGATGCGGGGTTGGTCGATGGCCGGGCTCCGGGCGGGGTCGCGCAGGCGCCCACACCTCTCAGGTCGAAGCCCTCTCGGTTGCCGACCCTCGCGTCTAGGCGCCCGTTCTCCGTAATGGGAGTGTTCCCAAAATAGATAATAATTTGTCAAATTTTACGAAAATCGATACACTTGCAAAATTAATCAATAGTACTTAACACTGCATAAATAAAAAACAATTTAGACACGCAATTAAAATGGTTTTATCACACCCATACAACGATGAATAATAAAAACCGCCTTCATTGTATGACTTTAACATTGTTTTCGTTTCCAACATAGCAGGTTTGAGCCCCGTATTTTGCAGACGTTTGTATTCACATTGTCAGAGTATGACACATTGCTTATTTCAATCAGTTGGTACGAATACTACTTCTGAGTTTAGGACTATAATAATGTTCATGCGCAGTCCTTATTAACTAAAATTATTACAGTTATAAGAACTAAACTTATTTGTTTCATTTGTGACAAATTAGGATATTATTTTACTAATATTTTTCATACAGGCTCTTCTTTTTGTATCAAAGAGCAAGTACCTTAGTAGCTTTTGCATTACTTATCACTTACACCTGACGATTTTGATAGTATACTGGCTACTTAATATAAAAAACATAAGAATAATAAAAATATACCTATAGGATACTTACAGCTTAGTTATATATGTATTTTTTAATTCAATTTACATTCTTAACTTTTCCCCCTAAAATACAGAGCGCAAAGATATCAGTTATCTAATAGCCATAACGCAAACTCTACTTAGCTTGGGACTGCGCTACACTTAGATTGTGCTGTGTGAATGGTTCTGGGTTATTATTATCATTGACCAAGATTTCGTGTCAATTCCCTTAAATTAAGAGTCTCATCATTTTGCATCTATTTAAAACCCATTAACCATACTAATAATATGACATACAAATTAGATTTCCCTATTTTAAAACCGCTTGTTACGACGAGAGATGAATTTTATTTTGCGTCCTTCATGACGAAGTATTAAAGTTAAATTTATATGAACCAGCATCAAGGCATTAATTTAATGTAGGGATAGATTGACATATCTAAATTGACGTATTACTTTCATAAAATACCGATTTATATATAATAAACCGATTATTACAGATTCGGAAGAAATCGTAATGCTACGTCACCTATTTTTTTGTTGGAACATACCTTAGAACCGAAAAACAAGGTTCTCAAAATGTTTGTAATTTTTATATAAAAATTAGTAAAGTGTAATTCTTTGTAAACAAATGTCGCTTAATATGTACCAGCAACTAAACTCTAATTAACAGCAAATTATAAATAAATTAGTGTTATTTTTTTTAAATCTATTATTTAATTATGTACGGGTAACATTCTGTATTTAAACAGATATTGCAAACAACCCCACGCAAAAATATTGCAATCAAATACATCCGGTGAGAAACTAAAATAACAAATACACATAAAACGCAACAAAGTTTCCAAATTATACATAACACGTCTCGTCACGTTCCAGTCGGAGGAGCTTTAAATATAATATCAACAGCAGGGGCGAGTTTATATTTTGAGTAGAATGAGTATAAGTAATTTTTGTATTTGCGGGATGTTTAGAAAGCCGTAGGCGACTAGCCAAAACAACCGATTTTGTCGGTGTTGCAGTACCTAACATACTGGCGGCTGACGGCAGCGGCGTGACCTATGTATAGCCAAGTTAACAAATAATTTTAACTAAATATTTTAAACAATGTCTGGAAAACCCTGCACGTAATGTAAATATTTATTTTAAAACAGTGTAAACTTAGTATTTTAGAAAATTATAACAACTATACTGGTACAAGTGTTACTATGAAGGAAATCTTAAAACTATGGTATTATTGGTCTGTGGTCTAGGCGCTGCATAATTTAAATTATGTCTCTTAAGCACTG